ACTAACTCGTACTTGTTCTAAGTAGAGGTCGGTGAGGCGCCAAGCTACGGCAGCCCCGCTGCAGAATAGCGACATTACGGTAATGTGTCGTAAAGCCATGGAAGCTGAGCTTCGATCCCATGAGCAAAATTAATCCTGAATCATGAAGGTAAGATGAAAGACCATTCGTTCAACTAAATCAACATGATTTTGGCAGAAGAAGTGATCAAACCACAACTTTCATGTGGTACAAGGCCCAACTTTTTGCAAAGGGTCTTAAGAAAAACTCGGGATGGGGTTATCTGATTGCTTCCACGGTTGCCAACACGAATTCGAGTCGGACGTGACTTGCAGCCTGTGTCGGATGCAACCAAGAACAGCTAGATAATGATACTGCTCTTTCCAACCGTATGCTGACAGACAACGTTTATACGAATGTTTTACATGGTGCAGCCAGTGCTAAGGGATTCGTGTGTCATGGAGCAGGGTATCTACGGTTTAGAAAAGCAATAGCTGCTTTGAAGCATGACACAGCATCGTATAAGTTTAAAAATGGCCTCGAGATAGCGAAGAGAGCAAAAAAATTATGTCAAACAATCACTGGAAGGTTTATCCCCGTTGGATTATATGTGGATGTCATGACTATCGCAGCAATCACAAAAAAGGAGATCAATCAGGTCAAAAGTGCTCACGAACGCACTTACAAGGTTGCATTTTTTTGGGTTGACCACGACCAGTTCACTCATAAACTTATGTCGACGACGTAGTCAAGAGATTCGGGCAACAAGATGTCAATAATGTAGCTAATCCTTGCGCATTAGAAACGTTATAGTCGTCAACGCAGTCGTTTGGTGATGCTCCCAAAGCCGCATCAGTCCTTGATTGGATGTCTGATGTAAAGCACGATATATACTCGACCGGTTGTTGCATAACTGATTACACTGCTGTCACGTTTCCTGGAGAACCTCGGGCTGCAACGTTGAACTGCTGCTTTTTTTATTTTTTCGTATACTACCCTGGATGAAGCCTACAAACCAAACTGCCAAGGCAGTGGAAATATTGCGGCTAAGGTACATTCAGATGCTGATTGGAGCTGCGTTACTGATGATGAAGATTCGATCTCAGGAATTGTAGTCGTGGTTGCAGGCGAGCCAACAGTATTCAGGTGAAAGTACCAGCGAACGGCTACATCCAGCTTAATTTAGACTGAAATTATGGCTCTCAGCCTGTGCACTCAAGCAGTTCTTTGGACTCAAGAGATGCTTTTGGGGCAAGAGCAAGTGGAAGGCATACATGTCTGGAATGACAACAAGGAGAGCGATCGCTTTTGCCAAAAACGCCGGATGCCATGTTCGAACGAAGAGCTGGAAATCAGGGTCCACGTTATCCGCGAGAATGTGTGAGAGGGAGCTATCACATCGACACGAAATTTCATCCATGCTGACGACGACATGTAAAGCTAAGAAGTTTTTTCCTACGCGAGGCAGCAAATGTCCAGTGCGGAAGAGAAACAAGCATGAAGGGTCTTGAGATGATGCTGCCCAATACTACTGAGTTACAATGTTGCAGCTATATGCTCAGTCTCCCCACTTCAGAAGTCTCGGATTCCATGCCCTTTTATCATGGGTGAGATGTGTTTTGGCACCCCGCCGCGGTAACCACGACGATGTATAGCTCCTTACCAAGCTGGATCTAGCTCAAAGAGTCAATATTGCACAGCGCAAATCGCGGATTCGCCCAAATTAACACACCGTGATTGAGCACTTGAGGAAATTTGCACCCTGAATGAGAAATATACCTAAAGTAATACAATTTGGTGAGAGGAGATTTTTTCAGTATTGTACTTGATTGAAGCTGCATACTATATGAGAAAAGCATGCCATCTCACCCGTCTCTAGGCCAACTGCAGCGATGCGAACACTTGATTGAAATACTTTCGCGTGCTTATAGTCGCAAAATTCAAAGCACGTTACGGACGTCGAGCGGATAATCCATCACTTCAAGTCTCTGTTGCTGACAGCCCCGCTCATCTCCATGAGACAGCGGTAACAGCTGACAATTGAGAGGCTTCCGCGAAAAACCAGCCCCCTCCCACTTAAAAGAAGCGTCCTAAGACATGGAACCTTGTCCTTTTTCTGTAGGCGATACAGGCCGAAAGTGCGTCAGTTCGCGGCGGCCACGACGCCAGGGTAATTTTGCCGAAGTGCGACGACACACTTCCACGAGATTTCTTCCTCAAGCATATGTAACAGCCTCGGTGAACCCGCCTGTCCGTCAAATGTCCCACGTTAAAGTGGACCACTACTTGTGAATCGGGCAGATTTTGCGCTAGTAAGCCCTCCCGTGGCTGGCTCTTGTGGGCTCTCTCGATTGCGGTGGCACGTAGACTCTCCCTGAGAGTCACGGTATGCGCTTAAGGCTGAATTGAATCGGATCTCAAAGTTGCTATCTGAGCTTTGTTGTTGCGCTGCCTACCCCTAGTGACTTAGATTTGCGTGACCTCGCGACCAAACAATTCTTTTCGCATCTGACTGCCTGCAAGTGCGAGGATCTGGTATGACTCCAGTAAGTCTGCATTGAACCTTGGGTGTTCCCATATTCGCGTTCGCTTTGAGATAGTAAGAGTAACACTTGACCGCTTCTGCACCACGACCGTGAAAGCCGCCGCAACTTGGTGTAATAGACTGCAGAAAATATACATTCAGTCAAATCTTTTGCCCCACAAACTTTTTATTTGTGTTCCGCCTACCTCTGGGATCGGCGTGCTCCTTTTGTTTGTTTTGACTTTCACCCATAGCTTCGCGTACCCTGCGCCTGACGGTCAATAATATCCAAATGAACCCCTGATTTACTATGAAATGTAGACGCACTGAGATCAGTAAGTCCGTGGAAAGTAGTTCACCAAACAGTTCAGGTTTGAATGAAAAAAGGATGCTCTGCGATGTTTAGTGTAAACTTAATGATTAGGTCTAAAACCGCGATCTCTCCACGCAAGTGCTTCTGAAAAGATGTAGTTCTCGCGTTTCGTTTGGTCATCTATTTTCAAATGGTCATATCTGATCTGGAGCCGATCATCCTGAATAATGTTTATCAGAACTCCGTTGTAAAGCACGATCTCTATACCATTTATAAAAATAAAAAAAGTCATGTTGAGAAAACAATCTGTCAAGGATCAGTTGGCTGTATCCTCACCGGTCACACCATTGATGACAGCATCGATATAGCCTGATGGTACACAAAGCCGACTATTCCAATATTACCAAACGCATGTTTTCGAAGACCGAAATTAAGTCATCGCTGATAGCCTGTCAACACGGGAACCAGCAGGTTGGCAAACGGCCACTGCATGCGGTGAGAGGTTGATCCGCTGACACGTTTCAAGCATATACACATATGTGATTACTCACTTGTATATCTTGGACCGCCAAACGTAGTCCTCACCGAGCAGTATGTTTTTCGATGTGGTTACTCAATGGGGAGTCAAATTCCTTGTAAAATATCCAGAACTTGAGATCCTCACAATAATAAGCGGATCAGCGATGTAATACAGCATGGCTTGGAATAAGGCGTAACGGTGCACGCGTGAGACGGCACACTTTGATAAGTCAATATCTAAGCTCTCGAACAACTTAACTTTTATGCTTACCGCTACGCAACACATGTTGCGTCCAGCCCATACGCTGTACGTAGCGTCTCACCGTTTAGTGCCGTTACATTTCGAGACGTGCAATAGACGAAGCATTAAAAAAATGCACTCGCCAGCACATTAAGCCGACAAATCTTATACCTTGCCTCAAAGGTAATTTCAATTGAGAAGAATTGTTTTATGTAAGTGGTGTGGTGGAAGCCTTGCTGTACGAAACAACATTGATCACAAACGATCAAGAGCTAAGCAGATGCACCTCAAAATATATTTTACTGCAAATAGCTTCTTGGCATGGACAGGGCAGTTCTCATATGCGACTTTTGGCTGGTGATCTCTAAGCGCAAACTCACAACAGCCTAACCGCATTCATAAGCGCCAAAATATGGAACACATTATGTTTTCTTCTATCACCTCTCTTTCGCCACCCCCATAACATAATTTGACCTCGCTCTGAAAAGTATTTGTGATGGGTTATGTTGTGTAGGCACAGTCCGCACTGTAATTGTACGAGTAGTTGGCCAAGCCAGGCCATTTACTAAAAAAATTTTGGAGCAGAGACACTGGCCAATCTACTATGGTCTTTACCTTTGCAACATCTACCCACCGATACTGCTTTCCTTGTAGCAACATTGAGAGGACTTCCCATCGACGCCAAAAACATGATTGGTTATATCATCGAATATCTTATTGAGCGCATACACACGCATACTGCGGGCAGGTGTGTAGCGTATTTGACTTATCGTGCTCTGCTTGACTCTAGACAAAAGAATCGCCACGATGTGGCCCACACATGTGTCATCAGAAAATGAACGTAGTTGGTGTGTTGGACAGTCCTTGTAGCATATTTTTCAAATTCGGAGCTTACCGCTCAGAGTTTCTTCGCAGTGAAAAGAATATGGCAACAGTAATTATCTCGGTCAAATAGGTTGAAAACACTATATCAACTGCAGCTGGACATACTGTTCTGCCGCACATCCTTTCTAGAAATTGACGTTTGGACCATAATCGTGGTTGCATTTAGCTTAATATCAACACACACAGTACTATTCATTTCTGACGCCGCCAACCGCGAATAAATGTTTTTCATCAAACTACATCAAGCTTGTATGGAAGGAAGCGACAATAATGTCAAATTGTTCTCTTGGCGAGGATCATTGCCGTGTCACTTCTATCCTGGGTGTCACGAGTGGTTGTATGGTTGTCATTGCTGACTATGGCTTAGGTGACTATAGCTTACAGCTGATGCTCAATATTTTACTAAAGATACGCATGTCCACCTGAAGGCCGGGATATACCTTCTCATTTCTCGTCCCAGCAATTTACGCCATTTAAGCCGCAACGCGATAGCTATTTTCTGTCTTATCTTATGAAGGCGACAAACTGCCACTCCCACCTTCTTAAAACGCATTAACATTCCTGATCACATATGAAACAGCCCATGCACTGCACAAGTCTATCAAAGCTTGAGCTTACTTCAGAAGCACTTCTACTTCTAACAGATGTAAGTCATAACTCACCAAATTCCCCTTAAAAGAGAGAGAGTGCTACATCCTTTAGTTTTTGACTCTCCCTTATTCGTAGCTCTCATTGCTAAAGGCATGCCATACCTAGAGCAAGATCATGTATCAGATTTAGCTCTAAAATTAGATAATATTCCATGCTGACAAAGCTTTTGAATTTTATGTCATGCTCAGAAGAACAATCACACTTTAGATGAAGTCTTCGTCGCAAGACGCGCGAATATCGTATCCTTGTTTGACATTGATAATGCCTTCGCGTACTGTCTACTGCTTTCAACAATCTAGTATCGTGCGTGACTGCACAATACTTTTGAATCTATTAGAACTACCTACGGCTTTATATCATCCAGTATGTTGATATCAACAACCATCAACCCTACGCTGTGAGCACTAACCGTTTTTAGTACAAGTCACTCCTTTTAGAACTGCATCATATTGACCCGAACCTCCACGGGGTACACTAGAGTCTAGTTTTCTCAATAAGTATGCTGCGCTGCATCGACTATAACTGGTGGGTTAGCACTTCATGCTTTAAGCTTATAAAGAAGAATACATACAGGGTGCAGACATTGTATACTGTTACAGCTTTACCATCTGTGAGTACCACGGTGCGACTTGACAGCTTCAAGGCTTCCACCTTCATCCTCCGCATGAAAAGGGTTTTTCAAATCCAGTCCACTCGAAAATGTTATACTGCTGTACCAAATAGGCCCTTGAGACAAGAAACCTGTACTTCTTGTACCTACCGTATCCCTATACTGGATTGGTACAAGCCGCAAGTCGCACCTGTTCATGCTCGAAGACCCTATAAGGTTATAGGAGCTGTCACCTCTCCTAGGTGACGGACTGCCGGTATTGCGATGAGATATCACTGATCCTCCATTCGACGGGTGAACAAGAATTAACAGCAAACGCGGTAGGCACTACATTTTCGTGCTACATCTTTCACTTCAAATTTACATGCCGTAATACCTCCTTTGACGAGACACCGCATATAAGTGCCTGTTCTTGCGCGGGTCTTTCTAGCGTGAAGACTGCACGCACATTATGCTGCTTCTTGAGACCGGTGGGCTGAAAGCGGTTATTGCTTGCCCAGTTAGCTTAAAGCTGACGCTGGTTAGGCACATCTAGAAGCGGCCCCATTAAGCGCCTGTCTAGAATCAGATGGCTACCACCTTCAGACGCCTGGTGTTGAAAATATCTCCCTTTGGATTGCTGAAGTTCAAGTGACTGTAAATCGGCCTTACTCCAAACACAGCCATCGCCAGTCGCGCGCGAGAGTGGGTAATTATGTGCAACACTACAAACACTTTCAACCGAAAATGATCTGAAGCGACTAATGTTGCAAATGCTCGCACCGCCTAAAGCAGCCTGTCTGCAGTATTAATAACACTAGACAACCCATCAAAGGCGGCGAGAATATCCTGAAGTCAAGAACCCGCACCGCTGCAATGGCGTCCGACCCTTTTTTCGAAAACGGTAATGGTTTCCATCATCTGGGCGGGTCCGAATCAAATTCTTTCACGTTCATACCACCGCTTCTGGACAATTGGAAGGCGTTGCAATCAATTTGAGCACAACTTCGCGAGGATTATATGAGATGCTGAGAATTTAAGCTTTACAAGCGCGCCAAAGGCGAGGAAATTTAGCCATGCTGAGTGTTAAATGAATTTCTGAGCTGAAATTACCTCCGCGGTACCCTCCGATGTTTCATTCGCGGCAGCAACCTTTTACCTTAACTGAGAGGTAAGAAGCTCTCATGCCAAGGTGATTTATTAGCTCCTCCTGGGAAAACGTCTTGTTTTAGTAGGCGCAAGAAGATGACCTGTTTCTATTGTGTCTAATAGAGACTTGGTCAATGGAGTCCAGCCTTACGAAAACCTACTCTCGGGTGAGATTTTGGACTCACGCCAAGGTTTGTGAAATTATTGAAATTAATGTCTCGCTCTTTTTAAACCGTGGAAGGCCCTGATAGCTTCAAAAGCGTCGTACAGCTAAGTGAAGCACAAAACTGTAGATAGGAGTAGACAATATTCGAGGCGTTGAATGAAATACGATAATTTTGCGACTCGCAAACGAGGACATTACTTTTGTTATGGCAGACTTATAAGTGAGTTCTCAGGCTTTTGACAACAGGGAACGCTGTCCAGATCTGGGCTCGGATACGAATCAATTTCATTCTAAGTATGGACCACGAGCGAAGAGTTTACTGTATGTCAAAGTAGTCAAATCTCACGCACTTCCTCCTGGTGGAAAGATGGCGATTTCTGAACTCGACTCGGTCAGAATTCAATATTACTTTTAAAGTGAGCAGGAAGCTGCGATAGCTTTCGTGCAGGACGTGAACTGTCCGAAAGTGATAGCAAATAATATATCTAGATACGATAAGCAGAGTTTGGAAGGCAGATGTGGCAAAAACCCAAGATCAAAGAACAAAATGGAAAGAGGCGATTGTACATCGAGGTCGTCATAGTGTATCTCTGCTGCGACGAACGATAACGGGTGATCATTCTTTCCTTGATATGACAATTCTAAATTAGTACTACCGTGGGCAAGGACCACGGTGCGAAGCAGTGAATAGGCGCGGATACGTGGCGAGAGGGATGATATACTCGTGAATGGAGTGACTAGGGAAAGTAATCTCTACCTCATTAGCGCCGGTAGAAGCTCTTATGGAGCTGAAAGAAGTTTCCATAAGTGGATACGTGCAAGGAATAAGGTCATCGAAATTAAACGGTCAGGACCAGAGGAGGGGTCGAGCTCGTCATCCGCACAGCTAAATCTGATATTGAACACAGACGAAGAGCAGTAAGTGCAATGAGTGAAACATCTAACTTCACAATTCCCTAGACTGATTATATCTTTGGTAAAGAAAACTCAGGGGTTGGTGAGAGAGACCAATTACGCGTGTTATCCATGGATAAGGGAGTAGTGCTGAAACTCAATCAGAACCGCAACCAACTATTACTTAACATGGCAATACCGCTTACCAAGAAAGCAGTATGACGTCATCAGCGCTTTCTTCTCAACAAAGCACGAGGTGTAATTGTCGATTTATATTTTTAATTGTTGGAGATGACCCCGCTCATCCTCCAGCTCATGACTTGTCAGCCATGATTTAAT